TTACTTAGCATTTTCTCAAATCAATAATACCTCCATATGCCCAAGGATACACTTCACACAAAAGACATTTCCAAATAGGTCAACCAACCTCATCCAGACCCCACACAAGGCACTCACAGATCAACACCCCAGCGCTATACTAACTCATCACATCCAGATCTAAGCCTTCATCACTTGATTCAGCAGACCCTCAAGTTCCTCCAAAAGTTTCCAGCCATGTCTGTGAGGCAGCCCTGGGGTGGGGGCAGGCGAGAAGTGAGCTGTTCTGGGCCTGGCTGCTCCGGGCCTGGCCTCTGTTGCTCTGGTCTGTTCCACAACCAGCTGCTCCAGGTCTGGCAACTGCCGCTCCTGGCCTGGCTGCTGCTGCTCCTGGGCCCGGCTTCTCTGGGCCTGGCTGCTCCGGGCCCGGCCGCTCCCGGCCTGGCGGCTCCGGGCTTGGTGCAGCAACTCTTTTTAAATTAAATTCTTTATTGTTGTAAGTATTACAGATGTCTCCATTCCCCCTCCCCCCGCCCCTCCCCCCCCCCCCACACCATTGACCTCTCCCAGCCTGCTTCTCCCATTCCCTTCTCCCAGCAGAGGCCCTCACTTCCCTATTATCTCTGAGCAACTTTAAAAAAAATGTATTGACATGCATATAAGTACAACCAATGGACATAAAACTATGGGGAGGGAGGGGATATGGGGGAGGGAGGGAGGGGGGCAAAAAAAATCATTAAAATATGTAAAAAAATAAATAAATTAATTAAAAAAAAGAGTGCAATTATCAACTGAAGAATATCAACTGCTTATATAAGAAACTAGAGACCTGGTGCAAGGGATTCATGCACCGGTGGGGGGCGTGGCCTGTGGGGATTGGCCTGCTGTGGGAGCACTGCTCATCCAGGTCAGCCAAGCAGCTATGGAACCGCCCTCAGAGTGGCTGCTTTCTGGTCCGGCATCTTACGTGGAGCCAGAGCATTCGCCTCTCCAGGAGACCTGGTCAGGCCCAGGCCCAGTAACAACAGAAGGGTGGCAGAGTAGGCCTCAGCCCAGTGGCAGCCATAACCAGCCTCCCAGCCTCTGGGGTCAGCTCTGCAAGCCCTGTGGCAGCACTGTGCAGTCTGCAGGTGTCCAAAGGAGTGGGCAGGGAACGAAGAGGAGGAACTTGGGGCAAGAAGACAACGAGCACAGCCTGGGTTCCTGCCCGTCAGCCCAAGGTTCTCAACAGGAACAGCTACTCATCCTGGTCTATAGAGTGATGCTCCAACTTTGTTAGCACACTGACCACCAGGGGGCAGGTCCTGCATTGGGGGTCTGCCCCCTTGAGGTTTAACAAAAGAAAAAAATGAAAATGAAGAAATTAAGACAGAAATAATATACTATCATACTATAAAAAATAACCTGAAGTACCCTGGCCGGTGTGGCTCAGTTGGTTGGGTGTCATCACGTGCACCAAAGGGTTGCTGGTTTGATTTCTAATCAGGACACATGCCCGGGTTGTGGGCAGCCTATCAATATTGCACTCTTGTGTGGATGTTTCTCTCTCTCCCTTTCTCTCTCTCTCTCTCTCTCTCTCTCTCTCTCTCTCTCTCTCTCTCAATCAATAAAAATATTTTTTAAATAAAAAAAAAATGTATTGAATTTATTGGGGTGAGATTAGTTACCGTATTTTTCGGACCATAAGACGCACTTTTTTTCCCCCAGAAGTGGGGGGAAAAAGTCCCTGCGTCTTATGGTCCAAATATAGCCTACACATATACTTAAAAAAAAAGTTTTTTTACTTGCCCGGCTCTGTGTGGTTTCTGTGTGCTTGCCCGGCTCTAAAATGGTTCTAAATGCTGCTGTTTACTTTACAGGGTTGATTACATGTGTTTATGACTGTGATGTTGGGTTTTAATGCACATAAAATATTTTAGGACACTATTTGTTTCAGAATCTTTTTTCTTCATTTCCCTTCTCTAAAAACTGGTGCGTCTTATGGTCCGGAGCGTCTTATGGTCCGAAAAATACGGTAATAAAGTATATAGATTTCAGGTGTAAATTCAATAATATACCATTTCTATATTTGTGTGTTCACCACTCCAAGTCAAGTCTCCTTCCATCATCATTTATCCTCTCTCTACCTTCTTTTACTTCCCCTACTCTCAATCCAGCAGCTCTTAACTCTTCACACCTATTCATTCAGTTGGGTAAAAAAAGAAGTGAAATAACTTTTGAATCTCTGCGTTTGGATGACCAGATCTCACATTCAAAGTAATGAAGGTCAGAGTTATGGTACTAGCACCTTTCATTTCAATATGGTCTTTCTTTCCTTGGGAAAGTTACTTTTTTTCCATAGTCCTTTAAATATAATCTTTTTTTGTTTGTTTTGTCTGACTTCGTTTCTGGACTCAAAATACTTGTTGACTCACCATGCTTTACGCTGGTGTTCTGGCCTGAACTGTGCCCCTATACACTGGTGTCTGATCTGGACCATGCCCCTCTGGCCTACAGTTGCTTTAATATGAACAAGTTAGGCCACAAAAGGAATTCTTCACATGCTAACTACTTTAACAAGAATTTTTGTTTCTTTTTATTAGTGTTGTGTCCCCCCCCCCCCCAAAAATTTTTTTTTTTTGGTCTCTGTCTCTCTTATTCTTTTTTTCTCTTAAATGCATATGTCTTCACATACCCACACCTTTGAGCCTTCCTTCTAATATTGCCATTTTATATACTGCAATTGCCTTGTGTTGACATAAGAAATGTCCAAACCTGTAGAGAACTTTTATGAGTTCATTTGAGCCAAACTGACAACAATCGCTGGGAAACAAAATTTCAATGGTTTGAGAAAATGCTCTGAAGAATGGCAATTTTGCATCTTATTTTACACATTAGAATCAAAGGAGAAGGCATAAGAGGGTTACATGAAATATTTTGGTGGTAGATTAGAGAGGTGAGGGAGATCAAAGTGAGGGAAACTCTGCAAAGAACAAATAATGAAGTTAGAAAGGTTAATGATAATAAAATAGCAAAATATTCTACTACAAGAATAAATTAATCACAGTGAACTGAAAAATACTTAGAGGCCAGGTATGGACAGAGGTGATTATGTCTAATGCAATTGGGAAGAAGTTAAGGACACAAAGGGAATGGTGTGTGGAAGTCCAAGTGGTTGAATTGAGAGAAGGGTGCAGAGCACATTATGTAGGTAGTAATGAGATGGTTAATACTTGGGAAAACAGAAGCATAAAAGAGCACCAACATCAAGATAACATTATAAGGTTGACTTTTGCACAACTCAGAGTTTAGGGAAACTGACCCCTCTGCAATAAAAAATATGCATGTAACTTTTTTGTAATACTTGCACCTACCACAGTGGGGTAGCTATGAAGTTATATACTACAGTTAAATTTATGCAGCTATGATTTAATACTGCATCTTTGTGTTTATTTACAGTTCTCTAGACTGCAAATGGCACCATGTGTGTTCTGTGTATACGTTTTTATAAATTTTAATATTTTATGATATATTTGTATATATTTTATAGTTAAATTTTATGCATTCAATGACATACCTAACTTTTTCTAAATTTTTGATATTTCTAGGCTGTGAGGTTTTTCAAACTGTTACATGTCTTAAATTTTCCCCCAACGTATTTCTTGAAAACAATCTGCATATCAGTGAACCCATGCAATTGAAGGGTCAATTGTATCGATATTTTCTTTGTTTTTGCAAGCTATTGCTAGCCTTCTTTTAAGATGTCACAAGTGAGTCATGCAGTTTGGAATAATGTTACTTCATCCAAGGTGTGCTATACTGCCTTAACTCTTTGTGATGGTACATACTTATCGTTTTTGAGATTGTGCAAGCACTTAGAAGATTATTTTGCTTACTTAAGAATAAAGTTAAATTTTCAACAATTACCTTTTTAAAAAGCTTGGAGTGGGGGGGGGGAATGGTGAGATATGTACACGTATAATACCTTAAAAAAAATGGAAAGAAAGAAAAAAAAGCTTGGGGTTTGGCAAATCCAGGCTGTTGACAATAAAAGTAATCACTTTTTAGGAAAATTTACCTTGTAGAGTGAGTGAGAAAACTGAGCTCAATTCTTTTGAGTAGAAATATGCTTAGAAAAATGTGAATTATATTGTACCCATTTAATAGCTTGCTCTGTCCAAAGAGCAGTCCAGCTAGTATGTAGAGTAAGAGATTAACAAAGTTAGTGGTATTCCAATTTATATTTATACTAGAGGCCTGGTCCACAAATTTGTGCACCAGTGGGTCTTTTGGCCTGGCCTGTGGGATTGGGCCAAAACTGGCTCTTCAACATCCCCCAAGAGGTCCCGGATTGCCAGAGATTGCAAGCCAGGTAAAGGGGCTGGGGAGAGAGAAAAACAGGAGGTTAGCCAGCTAGGGAGGGACTGTGGGAAGGCTCCAGGACATGTCCAGCCTTTCTCCTTCAGTCCCAATCAGCCAACCCCCAGCACAAAGCTAACCTACTGGTTGGAGCATCTGCCCCCTGGTGGTCAGTGCACATCATAACCTATAACTAATAGGTTATGTGACTGGTGGAACATCTGGGAAAGACCTCTCCCTGGGAGAAGGGAGAATTGGTGGCAGTGGCCGCATATTGTCAAGCTGACCATGAAAGCCACAGCTCCACCTCCAGATGTGCAGACTCTTCTTATTGTAAAATTCTATTGATATTTGTGGATGGGGCTCATGTATTAAATTTTTGCTTTCTGATCTTTATGTTTACAAATGTTACATTTCCCTCAAACTTGAAGTGCATATTTTACTGAAATAGATGGGTAAAATGTAAATGAAAATAAGGTGGGCTATTATGAAATAGCACAAGGTGTGAAAAACAGGTATTTGTTACTCTGGGATGGATTTTTATTTTTTCCTTGCCAGCCAGACCTCTCAGATAATTCCTTCTAGATATTTTACTGCTTGCAGACTCTACTGTTTAGATAAATGTCCAAAAGCCTCTTTTTATAACATTGCTTTTATTTATTTATTTATTTATTTATTTTTAGGTATAAAGACCTGAGGGAAGTCTTTCCTGTCAAGATGGAAAATAGTACCACTACCATTTCTCGGGAGGAGCTGGAGGAACTACAAGAAGCATTTAATAAAATAGGTATGCTTGAGAAAAACTCCATATGATGTTATTCTTCTGCTTGGTATCAGACTTCCAAGAATAGAACAATACCTTTTATTACTTCTACCATCACCCATTTACCCCAAGATGTATTCTTTTTTTTTTTTTTTTTTTTTTTTTTTTTTCCTTTTCATCTAGGTTTCACTGGATTCTTTCTTTCTTTCTGAAAGATAAACTGAAAGTAGGCTTGAATTTCTAGGACAATTGTACTTTCAATTCTTTGATCATTTCTTTGCAAAGAATAATCCAGGTTAATGAATGACAGTGTAATTGAATATGCTTAACATGATATCCTCATTACAAAGAAAAAAAATTGAGAAATACTTCCTTGTCTATTAACTGAACTTTGGCCTTTATGTGTTTTTCATTAACAATAACACTTTTTTACTTCATTTAGAGTATTTTAAATCTTAATATTCTTTTTAAAGGCCATAGGACCTATTTTCCTGCTCCCTTGTGTATAATTTAAAAATCTTAGTGTCATTTTTAAAGGTCTTTATGTCTTATTTTTCTTCTTTCATTATTTAAAGCCATTCAGTGTTTTGTCTTTATGATATTATCATTTGAACAGCTTTCTATTTTTCTCACCCCAAAAATCTTCCTCATCTCTGATTACATTTCTTTTGCATTTTGCTTGTAGAAACCTGTGACAAACCAGGAGAATATAAATGCCATATTTGGCTCTAATCTGCAAGCACACGCAAGCTGAGCAGTCTGTAGACAGGGGGATGCTGACACCAGTACTCTTGCCCTTCTTCAGTAGGCCTTTCTTTAGTGTAGTAAGGTGGTAGACCGTGGAGGATAGAATAAGCAGTTTTGTGCCTATACTGCTCACAAACCTAATGAATAATGACGGAAACCAATGTAGGTGAAATGCAATCTGGAATGAGTTTTAGAGACTAACACAAAGAAAAAAATTTAAGATTAAAAACTAAAGCTCTTCAAAAATAAAAAGTAAAGCTCTTGGGAAACTTATGTCTTACAAATGATTGCTATGAATTCTATAAATCTCTGGACACCCCCCCCCCCCCCCCCCCCGCCCGTTCTCCATGTATCGCTGGCTCCAGAATAACTCCAATCTTCAGAATACAGTCTGCATGGTGGCTGAATAGGCTCACAGGGCATGCCTTAATCTTGGTCTTGTCTTTATTTTGGGCACCATATATTTGCCATTAAGGCATTGTATGAAGATGTTATGTTTTCTAAAACCTCACTGTTAAAAATAACTTTTATAGGGTTTTGTAAGGAGTGCATAGAGTCTTTTCAAGACAGAAATTAAGCAATTATTGGGATATTCTGCTTATTTTGAACATTGAAATAGAAGTAATAAAATTTTATTGCCAGTATTGCTCAATGACTAAGTGTCGACCTGTGAACCAAGAGGTCAACATTCGATTCCCAGTCAGGGCACATGCCCGGGTAATTGAATATGCTTACTATGATATCCTCATTACAGAGAAAAAAAATATAGAAACACTTCCTTGTCTATAAGCTGAACTTTGGCCTATGTGTTTGTCATTAACAATAGTACTTTTTGACTGAAGGTCTTTCCCATGGTAGGGGTTGTGCAGGAGGCAGCTAATAAATGATTCTTTTTCACCATTCATGTTTCTATCTCTCTCTCCCTCTCTCTTCCTCTCTGAAATCAATAAAATTATATATGTTTTAAAATGTATTTCTTTAGTTTGGCATTTCTGTTATTTTATAGGTGCAGTTTGGTAGCTTGCATAAAAGCTAGGTCTTAGTAAAATAAATGAATTATTAATAAATTTTCTTTGTTTAGCACACCCACTTTAACCTTTGTGACTCATGGACATACAATCCTGTAGTACTTATTTAATATTTTGAATAAATAATTCATTGATAGAACAATTCTAACAGCAAGATAACTTGCTGTGTGAGAGAAGTGCTGACAGCAGCTGAGCATGTATGTACTTGTTACTTTATTTACAAGGTAAATGGCTACTCATAAACTCCGTGATCCCTCTGTTTATTTGTTTACAACAAACTTTTCTCAGAGTTAACCCAACCTAACTAGATGGGATATTTTGGGTTCTCTAGGGAGAAGTGGGAGATTAAAATATTTGTCTTATTTTTTAATTGTGGTAAGATAGACATAAAATTTATCATTTAGTGTACAATTCAGTGGCATTAAATACATTCACATTGTTATGTAGTCATCACCACCATCGATCTCTAGAACGTTTTCATCTTCCCATACTATCATTATGTCCATTAAATACTAACGCTCAGCCCCACTGGGTTTACTGCCATGAATTTGACTACTCTATTATAACCTATTATAAGTGCAGTCATAAAATATTTTTTGTGTGACTGTCTTACTTCATTTAGCATAAGTCTTCAAGGTTCATTTATGTCATATCATGTATCAGAATTTCCTTAAATTTTTCACACACACACACACACACACACACACACACACAGATATCGCTCTTTGTTGTTCCACTAATTTCTTCTTCATTTTGGGTGATTCTTATATGTGCACTGGCCAGGCATGAAATCTGTAACCTTGGTGTATGGGACAATACTCTAACGAAGTGCACTACCCAGCCAGGGCTAAATTTCCTTACTTTTCAAGGCTGAATAATATTTCATTGTATGTCTGTACCATATGTTGTTTACCTGTTCATCAGTTGATGGCCACTTAAGATGTTTTTATCTTTTGGCTTTTGTGACTAATGTTGCTATGAACATGGGTCTGCAAATATCTGTTCAAGTCTCTGTTTTCAGTATATTGAGAAATAGTATTGTATAAATATAGTATTACTGTATTTAATACTATATAGTAATACTATATTGTATAAATATAGTATTACCTAATTTTATGTTGAATTTTTAAAGGAATCACCATGCTGCTTTAGATGATAGCTGCACTATTTCATATTTCCACCAGTTGTGCACAAGGTTCCAATTTCTTCAAATCCTTGCCAACACTGTTATTTCCTATTCTGTTTTGTTTTTAATATAGTAGTCATACTATATTAGGTAGGGGAATCTCATGATGAATTTGATTTGCTTTTCCATAATTAGTAATGTTGAACATCTTTTTATGTGCTTATTGGCCATTTGTGTATCTTTTTTTGGAGAAATGTCTAAGTTCTTTGCCCATATTTTTAATTCCAAGATTTTTTTAAAATTACAGTTTACATTCATTATTATTTTGTACTAGAGGCCTGGCACACGGAATTTATGCACTTGGGGGCAGTCCCTCAGCCTGGCCTGCATCCTCTCACAGTCTGGGAGCTCTGGGGGGATGTCTGACTGAAGCTTAGTGGACTTAAGCCATCAGTCAGATATCCTTAGCATTGCTATGGAGGTGGAAGAGGCTCCCACCACTGCTACTGTGCTCACCAGCATGAGCCCAGCTTCTGGCTGAGCAGCGCTCCCCCTGTGGGAGCACACTGACCACCAGGGGGCAGCTCCTGCGTTGAGTGTCTGTTCCTTGCTGATCAGTGTGCATCATAATGACAGTCATTCCACCATTTAGTCATTTGTATTGAATATATTAGCCTTTTATTATGTAGGAAAAGCTGTAGATGAGGCCCCCTAGAACCATAAGAAATGCAAAAAATTCACTGTTAACTCATTCTCAAATTACCCCCACTTAAAATCAAAATGCACCCCCCCCAGGGGGGCGTGTGCTGCACCTTGGAAACCATTGGGCTTGACACTCGCTGAGCTTCATTTCTGAATACATACACATATACCATGGGAACTGTAATCTCTTCTCCGCCTACCTCACTGGGTTGTCATGAGGAGGTTCTGAGCTAATAAACCTAGAAATGTTTCATGAGTAAGTGATGTCTAAATGGGAAGGAATTGTTATTTTTAAGCTCACGGATACCCTCGCAGGTAGCAGGTGCTGATTAGGGAGGAGGTCATGATTGTTTCCTGGGACTGTAGCTATGGAAGCTTTGCAGAGGGTTCTGCAGGCCTCTGAGGGGCGGTCTCTGGCCAGCAGCCCTGTAGGGGTGGTCTTCCCTTGAGACACTGGTGGGGGGGGGGATGTTATGGGGACTTCTGGGGGTGGCGAGGCAGAAGGGGGAGTAACTGCCAAACCTTCCCATTCTTTAAATTGTACTTGGCTGTTTAGCAGCTGTACCTGCTCAGGTTTGGGCTTCAATTTCCTGGAGCGGGGTGGGGCCTGGGCCAGGGCTGAGCCAGGTGGGCTAGGAGGGCGGGTTTAGCAGCGCCTCCAGTAAGGTTCAGTGAGCTTCAGCTGTGGAGACAGCACTGCTGATGTCTGGAGAGGGAAGAGTCTGACCCTGGAGGGTCGCTTAGGCCTTCCTCCACCGGGGTCTGGAGTTGTAGGGAGGAGAGGTGTGCCCAGTTCCTGCCGAGGGGGCCTGGCAGTGGGAGCCATGGACCCTGGGTGCCTTGGGGCTCTGACCAGTGGTCTCTGGTGTGCTATTGTTGTGGGCGCCCCAGGCAGGGATGGCGGAGGAAGAGATCAGGAGTGGAAGGTTCAGGCTGCAGCTACCCCTGAGGCTGGGTCTTCTCTCCATCTGGTCATCCTCCCCGTCCCTCTGGGGGTGCAGGGGCGTCCATGCAGGGGTATTGGAAGAGCTCCCCATGGCCCCTTCTTCTTCCTTCTTTGCAGTCCAGGTTCCTGTCAGGCACTCTCCTCAGACCCCCCAGAAACTTGGCTCTGGCCGCCTGCCCCCTACTGTGTGTGCATCCTCCTGCTGGTCTGTCAATATGCAAATTGGTCATTACTGGGACACCATAATGGACTATTAGCATATTACCTCTTTATATGTATAGATTAGTTTCAGGTATACAGCATAGTGATTAGAAAGTCATATACTTTACAAAGTGTTTCTCTGGATATTTCCAGTGCCCACCTGACACCATACATAGCCATTACAATATTATTGACTATATTCCCTGAGCTGTTCTTGATTATTTAAAAATCTTTATTGTTGAGAGTATTACAGATGTCTCCCTTTTTCCACCCA